TATCAGCTTGGTATCTTTACCCATTCCCTGTGTGATTAATAACACAAGTGGAGATTTGTGGGTCCTTTACATTTAATGTGATTGAAGATAGGCTTGGGCAAGTGTGTATTATAGCGAGGTTTGCTCCATTTGCCTCATCTGCTCTTTCTATTTCCATGCCCCCTTTATATATGTCTTCTTTGCGATTCCTTTATTTCATCTCATATCTTTTATTAGGTTATCAGTTATTCTTTAGTTTGCTACTTTAATGGTTCTTTTAGATTGGAGATCATGACTCTATGCTTAAGCATGCGGTGCCTAAATTAGCAGTTTTATTTCCACTTCCTATTCTGTCTTTTACTACAGTCTATCTTCAAGTGGAATGGAATCATTTTCATGCATGTCTTCCACTTCTCCAGCTTTGAGTTCTCTTAATGAAGGTATTGCAACACTTGGTGGGAGAATCAAGGAAACCTCTCTGCAGAGCTCTTGAGTCTCACAATGTAGATCTCTCTTCTTTGGTTTTTTAGTCCCATGATATCTTGGCCTCTTTAGAGTTCTGTGTTTCAGCACAGGGAAGCCTCTGAGCCTTACCTGGTCTCCTCTGAGCTACATTCTGAAGATTCCCTTTGGGCATTAGACTGGGACAAATGTGTGTAGTCATTCACCATCTCTCAGAAATTGTCTTTTCTTGCTAGATGGCCAATATCTTGTTAACCATTATTCCAAATTTTTAATTAGATTTAAAAAAATGTTTTGTAAAAAAGTATAAATCTAATAGCCAGCAGGATGCATTTTCTTCCTTATGAAAATGTGTTCTTCCTCATCAAGTACTGTCCCTTGGTTGCTGTAAGTTTACATCTTTTTACTGTCTTGCTATAATTATAATGGTATGTCAGGAAAGAACTGGATTCAGGAAAAAAATGGTGGTGTATTGATCACATGCATTTGAATCTCTGTAACAGTTTTCATTATATAACCAGGTCTGAAATTTGAGCCCAGAGCTGACATTTGAAATACTTTTGCCATTTCTAGTATTAATAAAAAGCTTAATAGAGACGGATTCATGAACACAGTTTGTCAGCTGTTAACCTTCACTATGGAATTACTTTGCAATGATGTAAAAAATAAATTGTGCAGACATGTTGGAATATATAACATGAAAAATACAATTCAGGTTGACTGATGAACAATAACCCATTCTGTCTGTTGAATATGTCTATGACTACCAAGGGAAGCTCAGACTGAGAATAAATTTCACATTGCCACACCAATTAATTTAATAAGCACCAGTCCCCTTCTGTATTTTCCTTGGCATTTTAAAAATAATGTATCATTAAATAAGGCATAGTCTTCAAATTCTCCATAATTTTGATTCTGAGGTCATGGAAGATGAACAAATTATATATAGCTTATCTTGTGGCCCATTTTATTGAATGCTACTAAAGGTAAAACCTGGATGTTCTGGTGCTACAGAAAAAGGACAAATTAGGGTACCAGGCACGGTTTATAGAAGGAGAGCTGCTAACCTTTGCCACAGGGTAATGAGGGGAGGTGAAGGTGCTGTGCAGAGCCCACCTCTTCTATACCTAAGGCAACCCCTGTGAACTTCAGCAAATAGCCAGTATAATATCAAGCTGTCATGTCTGTAAAGCAGTGCTAGACCCACAGTCAGCAGTGAATGAAGAGATGAATAAAGCATGGAATCTAAGAAAAGAAATGTCTTTTAAAACAGTAAAGCTGTTTAAGTCTACAAAGCGCAGCGTGCTGGTAGTGCAGGAAAGTGGTTCACTTGTCTGTTGTTGGAACCCTCAAAGTCCTTATCTTAAAAGCTTGTGACCATAAGGAAATTCTTGCACTGATGTTATTTTCATTTATTCTATCCTTTATTAAGTTAGCACTCCTGTCAATCAGAACTTGCATCTACCATAGGAGCTGTTTCTTTATGTTTTTCCAAGAACAGTTTTCTTGTGAATTGGAATTATCTGAGTAGTCTGTAAAATGAACTTTTGCTATAAGAAATGTTTACATATCTCTTTAGTCTTAAATTATACCCATTAATCATTCATGGTGGTATGAATCTGACCTTGATTCAGTTCAAAACCTAGGATTGTCCTAAGTGATGTCACCATGTTGATAAGTCTAATGTGATATTCCTATTTGAATTACTAGGAAAGAAATCAGGTAATTATTCTAATAGTGTCTAATTTGGTTCTTAATTACCTCATTTTGACTATTCACAACTAAGCTTGTCTAAATATAACATAAATATTAGTATGAGTTTTTTCCACATTCTGAGCTGTTTTTCAGACAAGATTATTTCATAAGTAAAAAGGATAATTTATTGAATCCCAGGCTATAAAACTTCTAGAAACATACTTGTTTCCAATTAGCCTTTCAGGGTAGTCTTATGTGCATAACATTTGGTAAATATCCAGTGAATAATGTAGTGGCATCTCACTTTAGAGTAGTTGGCATTTGGATGAAGAAGGGAAAAATCCGCTTGTACAATTTTCTGTATTGTTTCATTTTGTTTTTTTGAGACAGGGTCTCCCTGTATCCCCAGCTTGCCTAGAACTCATTACGTAGATCAGGCTGGCTTCTATCTCACAGAGATCCTGCTTCTTCCTCCTGAGTGCTAGAATGCGCAGATGTGTGTGGATGTGCACCACTACCCCTGGCTCACTTGCACATTTAACTAAGATATGTTATGATCAAAGGTGAGCAAACTAAAGAGGAGTTAGTGAGCCTGAAGCTTCCAGCGAATGCTTCACGTTGCCATGTGTGGTCATTTACTGCTCCACACCTTGAAAACCAAATAAAAAATGCTGAAGGAAGAACACATGAGATCTACACCCATACCAAGGTTGAGATTTTCTTACAGGCAGTAGACAGGACAAGCAATACTCAGGAAGGCATCCCCAGAGACCCTAATTTGTAGTATAAAATTGAAAGCTCTTCTTTGCAGTCAGCCGCTCTGGCAAAGGAAAACCGCATGCCTACCAGACACATGTTCTGGTACCTGCAGTAGCAGTACAGAAGTAACTCAAGGTTTCACTCAGAACATTTCTTTTTTTAATATTTTATTTATTATTTTTATTTTATGTGTACGAGTGTTATGCCTGCATTTAGGGAAGTGCACCCATGCCGTGCAGTGCCCGCAGAGGACAGAAGAGACTGTCGGATCCCCTGGAACTGGAGTTAGGACAGTTGTTAGCTGCCATGTGGGTGCTGGGATTTAAACCCAGGTCTTCTGTAAGAACAGTTAGTGTTCTTAACCACTGCACCATCTCTCCAGCCCCTCACTCAGTGCATTTCTAAGAGTCTAGAAAGTAAAAGTATCTAGGACACTGTGTCAATATAAGTAGGGCAAATAATATAGCAGTTTCAGCTAGTGATGGTCTGGGTAGTAAAATATTACATGTTAAGTGAAAAACAGAAGGAAAAGTGCACGGTGGTCTGTGAAATCTGTTGGGCTCATAGCTAAGCACAGCACTAACCACATTCTTGTACCCTCTTGAATATATTATGCCACAGAGATAATCAATAGTAATGTACCCATCTCCGTGGCATGGTAGAAATTCCTCCTGGACTCTCTTTTGGTAAAAACACCCTCTCCATCTAGATATTCTGGGTATGGGACTCTCTACCTAGGACACAGTTGTACCTTGGGCCTGGCACAATCGCGGTTTCTTCCCTATTTTCTTCAGGGAATACAGTGATTGTCCTCACTCCTTAAGGTGGGGTTGAAATCATTCCACTGTAGTTGTAGAAGCTGTAGCTTCTTTCCCCAATATGAGTAGCAGAAAACGGCATCTTAGCTTCATTTTCTTTAGAAGAAGGCAAATCAAGAAACAAGGAAAGTAAAAGCCTCCAGATGGTGTCTCAGAGCTAGAAGGAAAGGTCCATAGGGGGAGGTGGATGAAGAGCAAGGGACTTTGTTGGTGGCATTTGACTGATGTAGAGACCAAAGAGGGCCACTTTGCTTTGTAACTGCAGACACATGTACCCAGAGTAGACTCTTCTAGGGTTACAATTCAGATGGCCTGATTATTGTATGTACACATGGCAGACAGTATATCTACATGCTTTGACCTGAATGTGTTTTGAAAGACAATGAAGAGTTAGCCGGTATCAAGACAATAAAGATAGTAAACAGTAAACATAGTCCCAGCATAAGGAGCAGCATGATTACTTTTATAGCACACCTGTGGCATGAGCTTGGGCCAGTGCACATTGTTGCAAAGGTCTGGCACATCAGCTCATATCAAGGAGTGCTGAGAGTCTGTCAACAGCAAAACAGGTCTACAAAGATAAATGTGTGCATATATATCACCTTGCAACAGTGAAAAATTCCGTTTTCATACTGTATAATTACTCTTCCAGGTGGTTGGTTGGTTGGTTGGTTGGCTGGTTGGTTGGTTTGTTGGTTGGTTGGTTGGTTTTGAGGCAGGGTCTCTCTGTAGCCCCAGATGGCCTGGAATTCACTATGTAGACCAGGCTGGCCAGGATCTTACCTACCTCTGTCTCTCAAGTGCTGGGATTAAAGGTGTGTACCAGCATGCCTAGCTACTTTTCCTGGTTATTTTTTCAAGTTGAGGCAAGTTCTTGTATCTTCAGATTGCTTAGCTAGAACCTCAGTTTTATTTGTAATTGTGAGCCCTCAGAACACCTACATAGAACAGGGTTTTTAAAAATATTTTTATTTATTATTTTTATGTGTATGTGTATATTGCCTACATGTGAATAAGTGCACCCATATCATACAATGCCCACAGAAGACAGAAGAGGCTGTCAGATACCCTGAAACTGGAGTTACAGACAGTTGTTAGCTGCCATGTGAGTGCTGGGATTCAAACCCAGGTCTTCTGCAAGAACAACCAGTGTTCTTAACCACTGAGCCATTTCTCTAGCCCCAGAACAGTTTGAAGATATAGTGAATTCATCAAATTAATAAGATTGTTCTTAGTCGCTAGATTATAGATTGATTATAACGCACTGGCCTTTTTGCTGTTTTTCAGATACCATGATCAACAGGATGTTACTAGCAACTTCCTTGGAGCAATGTGGTTGATATCAATAACTTTTCTCTCCATTGGTTATGGTGACATGGTACCTAACACATACTGTGGGAAAGGAGTCTGCTTGCTTACTGGAATCATGGTAAGTGGCTTTCCCCTTCACATATTTTATTTATAGTTAAGAAGGCACTAAAACCATTCAGTTGATTGTATAAATTATTATAACTTAATCATTTGCCCATAATAATTATCTTGAAATGTGTTGAAGGCCTGAAGAGCTATATTTCACTATATAATTGTATTGATTCTTTTAACAAACATTGGTTTGGTGAAAGGCACTGATTGGAATACTGTCCTAGGAATGCAGCCAAAGCAGACATAGGCTGCCCCCCTTTCTCAGACCTAACAGCAGAAGCCTTGTGTTTCAAAAATAATGACAAATGATGATTAATTACACATATGACAAGTATAGAGAGAAAGAAATCCTTAGCTGTTTAAGAGACTGAGGAATCAGAGTAGGGCCTGGTGAGAGAAATTATTTCTAGAGAATTGACTTTTAAGTGGAAGTGAGAGTGCTGAGCAAATGGCGAGGAAGGAGGAGCATTTTATTTGAAGGCAGTCAGGCCAAGATGCTATTCATGAACAAGGTGAATAGGCAGGCGCAAAGAGGGGCTAGAATGTCCCGAGGTAGGGACAGGAGGCCAGGGCTTGCAAGACACTGAAGGAAGGTTTGCTCTATTGGTAGCCTAACAAACTGAGACATTTCATTTGCTCCTCCATGTTTTAGTCAGAACTGCTTTGCTTCATTGGTTTTGTTACCAAACTGGAAAAGCAGTTCCATCCTTTAGTGAAGGCAACTACAGTTAGGATGCTTCCTGAGGCAAAGGACATGCACAGACCAGAGGAAAAGTAAAGCAAGTTTTTAATAAAACAAAAGAACACTTTACAGAAGCAAGGAGGGCAGATTAGAAGAGAACGGTAGTCCCAGCCTTGAGTTCCTTGCTGGTTTTATTGAAGATCAAGAGTGAAGTTGAAGTGACCATGACCCTTTAAGTGTGAGCACTGTGCTCTGCACTTTGAGCCTACTGTGTATATTCTAGCAAGGAAAGTCCTATGCCTGTATGTGGAGTAGAACTCCAAGTCAAGAAACTGTGGTGGGGTGGCAATTTGCCCTTAGCAATAGAGCATCACTTGTGGGAGATTGTATAGTAGTCATTTATACCCAATAAGATAGCAGAGTGCATTTGGAGCAGGAGAACCAGGGTGTGTGTCCTACCACGGAGAAAATGGGTGGTTTCACATTCATAACACATTATTCCAGTGACTTACATTTATCTTCATTCCTTATCACTTTTTAAAGTTTGGCTACAGTCTTTCATGTTAATGTTTGCTTGGTTTCTTCTGGTGTTAAAATATGAGCCACAGGAATTTCCCAGAATTTCTAAAGGGAAGAACACCAATTCGACACGTCTACCCTGTCCACCAACTGGAGAGCAGGAGAGAGCATCAGGTTGCTTTTTCAGGTCCCTTTAGTGCTGGCCACTCAAAGTGGAGTACTTTCAACATCTGCCAGGAAATATTGTTCCAAAAGTGTTAACTAGCTAGAAGGACTGTGAGAATGGGGCCATGCTTCTGCTCTTTAGTAGTACTGAATAGACAGATAATGAGCTCATTTGCCTGAGTATCAGAGATAATTTTGGCTTTCACCTTTCCTGGACAAGGTTTCCTTGTGATACCTCTGTCTTTCCTCAACGTTTGTTTGTCTCTAATGCTTCAAGAACTGCTCCATCAAAATCTTGTCTTTTTAATTTTTATTTGTTTATTTTTATTCCTTATCATGTATGGACTACATTAACTAGCAACAGGAGTCATGTTCCTCTGGCTCTTACATTCTTTCTGCCCCCTCTTCTATGATGTTGCATGGCCTTTGTGTATACTGGTCACATTGTAGATGTTTCAGTTAGGGCTGGGCACCTCATAGTTCCCTGCATTTGACCAGTTGTGGAACTTTGTAATAGTTTCAAAAAATAGCTTCTTTGATGAGTGGTGAGAGGTATAATTGTCTATAAATATAAGGATACATATTTACCATACAGTAAGAAATTGCATTTGTCTAAGAATGTGATGGACAGATTTTTCTCTAAGATCTACGACTTCTCTAGCCACATGTATTTGGGTATGTCACAATACCATGAATGATATCCCTCCCATTAGTGGGCCATAAGTTGCAATTAGATAGCTGTTGATTACCCCCAAGATGAAAGTGTCACTATGGTACTAGTAGAGATTATACAGTCTATATAACAGTCTATATTGTTATGGTTTTTAGACTTTATAGCTAGGTAGGATCATTGATTGGTTTTCTTCCTTGGCAGCTTACATAGTATCTTCTGATACTTTGAGAGCTTGTCTTCAAGGAGGAGGCTTCCAGATCAGTTACAGCCCGATTCTCAAGTCCTGTGTCTGAAGTATGTAGTATCATCAACAACAGGGTCTTACCTTCAAGTTGCGGGTTGCAATCAAGGGCTGTGGCAACAGCCTGTATTATTTTGGAGTGTCTTGAACTACCCTGACCAACAACTCAAATGGAAGTTCCTCATGCCTGGACCTGTGACTTTATTATACAGCCATCAGCTATACAACATACTCACATTTATATTATATGTGTATATATCTCTCTTATTTACCTCCTTAAACTGCTTTCTTGGTTAGGCTTCGCTATTGCTCTTACTTTGTTTATGAAAAGTTCTAAGCATCCTTAATCTATATAGACACAGAGTGTGTCTATGTATTGAAATTTACAGTGACTCAAGTCTTTCTCTGCAAGCTCATAGTATAATGATCTACTTTTAGACTGACTAAGGAGTTCCATTGTCTCTTCCATATAAGAACAGATTTTTTAATTGACTCTATTAAACATTTACTTAGAGAAATTCACTAATCTTTGGGTAACCTTTGTAGAGGCGTTTTAGCCCTCCCTTGAGGCCAGACAAATTTCCATGGTATTGGGCTACTAGCAGTCTGTAGGAATGAGCTTCTAGAAGTTCATTATATCCTTTATAAACTCCCTAGGGATCTGGAATAATACATGGAGGTTAGCTATATACATTATGGACAATGTTTGAGTGACAATACAGATTTCTAAAAGAAGATAACTTTATAAAAGACTAGTTTCCTTAAGATGAAATATGTTAGGTCTTTTGACAAATTTTGTTTGCCTTTGCTTTCTTCTGATTTGGGGAAGTATAATAGTATTTGGGGGGGGGAGGATGGGTTGTCTCATCCAGAAATGATTTATTTTAGTGTTTATTTGCCTATTCTTTGCACATTTGCAGCACATATTTAAGTAAAATATGTATTATCAGGTTTCCCATGAGTCACTCCTGTTTGCATCTCTCCTCTTTCTCGGCTCTGGCTTTTAATAAATTGTGAAAAAGAAATACAACCTACAATTCTCCTAAGAGAGCACCAGGTCATCTCTGCATCCTCTTGAATATTATCCCTGGAGGACTGTGTGTTCCTTGTTCTCTTTTAACATTGAATTTTTTTATTCTTGTGCTCATAAAATTTTGATAGTGTATGAAATTTTGGTAGAATGTATGCCTTTATATGGTCTGTTTTCATTTTGAAGTAGAGTTGATATGCATGCTAACACCTTCAAAGACTTCCCGTTTAACACGTAAGGCATCAGCAATGCTTGTTTTCTTCCTAAAGCTGACACTGATGAATGATAGCGTGCCTTCATCCTAGATGTTCACATTAGTCAAAACTCAAAATGAAGTTATAATTTGGAAGTTTTTAGATAGCTGAATTTGTGCCATGGGTCATATATTTTTGGAGAAAAGTATATTAGGCTACACTTAATCTACAGTGTTTTAGGCAGAAATATATTATTAAACCATGAGGAGAGATTGTTTTCTATAATATTTCCAATAGAACACAAAATAGAATTATGAAAATATAGCCTTTCCTTACCTGAATTGCTTATTGTGAATCCAAGACACAGTCTTTCTTGTAATGTTTAATCTGTGTTTATACTGTTAGACATAGGTGATTGTGGAGCTACTAAAAATAGGGAGAACATGGAAAGTGATGGATTTTAGTAAGAAATGAAACACTGAGGTTCTAACTCAGTGGTAGTACACTTGCCTAGCATGCTAAAAGTCCTGGGTTTAATTCCTAATATCTCACACACATGCAAAAGCACTGGATGAAAAGAGTCCAGGAAATTTCCCTTATACCAAGATTTACACAGAAATTAGAGTTAAAGAAACCAAGATCTCTTCTGCCTATTTTTATATGTGAATGTACATGTGTGTGGGCCAAAGGCTGACATCAGACATCTTCCTAAATCACTTTCTTCCTTACTTTTTGAGACAGGGTCTCTCACTAACCTAGAGCTCACTGACTCAGCTACCCTGGTTGGCCAGCACACCCCAGGGATCCTCCTGTCTCTGCCTTACCAAAGGTGTGATTACAGGCATGTGCTACCATACCAGCCTTTTACATGGATGCTGGAGATCCAAACTCTGGTCCTTTTGCTCACATGACAAGCACTTTATCAACTGATCTCTCTTGTCCCAGCCCCTGAATATTATTTTTAAAATATAAATCATGGAATTGCCTAACAGAAAAGTAGATGTTCATTTCCCTTCACGACAAAAGCATATCAGAAATACATATTCTCCCCTTAGAAGAATTATTCTTCTACTCTTTCCTGTATTTGAGGAAGTAGTAAGGACCTAAGGATTTCCTGTTTTGGATGCCATGGTAACTAACAGATTGAATTCTAATTGGCTTCATTCTTTTAATTGAAGGTAGTAGGCAAACACATTGATAGATTTCAATGTCTAGGGTTTTTGTCAGCACCAGCTAGCTTCTAAATATCTCCAGTTTAATGATAGAAATAGTTGTTTTATTTAGCACTTATCCTGATGCTCATTTTCTATCTGTACAGGTGACTATAACACATCCTGAAAGTTATACATTTTCCTTTACTCATGAATATATATATGATTGTTTCAATTAAATGTTAATAAGGGTACCTTTTGTTTTGTTTTGTTTTGTTTGGGTTTTTGTTTTGTTTTTTGTTTTTTTGGGTTTTTTTTTTTTTTTTTTTTTTTTTTTTTTTTTTTGTCTCCC